ACTTGCTTTCTCTTCTAGGACTGAAAATCTTTTTCCTATATCCATATGGAGCTTAGGTACAGAGATGTTCACAGCCATATAGTATTGAAAAATTAGGGAGAGTTAGGAAGCTGTATGCACAAATGCTAATATATACTTTAACAGGAAAATTTGATCTACTTAAAAAAGGATTTTAACAATAGTTATACTTGACAAAATATATGCCTTTGCAATGTAAAATGTGAATGAAAAAATCATAAAATGATACACAGATAAAACATTATTTAATTTTAAACGTGCATGTTGGGGCTAGAGAGATGGCACTGTAGGTGTAAAGTTCACTGCACAAGTGTGAGTATCTGAGTTTGGGTCTCCAGCACTCATGTGAAAGCCAGGTGTGGTGGTGTGTTTCTGTAAATCCTGTGCTGGGAGGTGGAGACAGGAGGATGCCATGGCTCACCAGCCAGCCAGGTTAGCCAAAATATCGAGGTCTGGGTTCACTAAGAGACTGTCAAGAAATAGGGAAGAGAAAGACATTCTAACAGGAACCTTTGACCCTATACCTGTCTGCACAGGCAAGTGTACTCATAACCAACTCTGCACAAATGCAGACGCCACACACAAAGAAAAGAAAACATAGTTATTAAAATTTAACGGTGTTGCAGGGTAGTGGTGCACACCTTTAAGACCAGCACTTGGGATATAGAGTCACAGGATCTGTATGGGCTCAATGTCGGACTGGTCTACAAAGCAAGTTCCAGGACAGCCAGAGCTTTTACACAAAGAAGTCCTACCTTTGAAAACCAAAGATGGAGAGGAGAAGGAGGAGGAGCAGAAGGAAATATTAATAATCTCTATATAGCAAAAATCACAAAAACACTGATGGAAGGTGACAAACTTCATGCCAGACAGGGCAAATCTGGGGGGTAAGTACAGGGAAGAATACAAAAGAGGGACACTGACCAGTTTTTCACAGAAGTGTTTTACATTTTAAAGTATTAAGTAAATGTGACAACATCCATACTTGTTCAATATAATAAACAACCATATCTGTTATGTAATTTTTTGACTGTTCTAAATATTTTAGAAATTTGGGGGCTCTTTGAAAAATAGATTGCTCCAAAACTTTAGCACCTTGATGATTTTACTGTAAAGGAACAGTGTCTTCCCATAACACTTCCATCATCCTTAATGGGAGAGAATCTACCTGTGGTAGGAAAAGGTAGAGGCAGCCAAGAGTGGGCAGGAAAAATGCACAGGCAAGCACCCTAGGCTATGGGACAGGGCATCGTCTCCGTGTGATCTAACGGAATGTCTGATGAGTATATAATAAACAGTCTCCTCTCTCTGGATGAGTGTATTTTTTTTTCTGAGATAAACGATATATATTTTTAGGGAAAATAGGGCATCTAGAGACTTTTGAACAACTAAGTGGCATTTTTAGTCCCGAGGAAGATCATGAGTAGGTTTTTCTTCCTCCCCTTCTTCTTTTCTTTCCTGCTCTGCCTTTATTTTGCTCTCTTCACATATGGCATTTCGAAAAAGGCACCATGGATTTTGGAGACGTTTTGCAATGTCTGTGATAGTCATAATTCTAAGACCAATAGGTCTTTTCTTCCTGTGTTTTCTGTCATGATATATAAACAAGATAAAAACAGCCACTACTCTGGCTTCTGTCTCTCTGATCAAGAATTTATAATACAAACTGGCTTGTCTAACTCTGGAACAAAATTTGAATTAAAATGTATGCTTGTCATGATTGCAAGCTTCTAGTAGACTTCAGAGGGTGGGCTTAAGGTAGGGAAATAATTCCCTCACTCTACCTGGACAAGGGTGACTCTGTGTGTTCCCTCCTTGTCTAGAATTTCAATTTCATTCAACATGGAAAATTCCTACAAATTACGGAAAATTATCTAACAGAGACAATAGAAACATTGCATAATTATATGTGAATTACTCACATGGAAAAACTGATGTTCAAATGTTGTCGGGGAAACTTAATGAAGGGGATAGGATTTTGACTGCACATTGCAAGACTGTCAAACTTTCCAAATAGCTTATAAATCCAAGGATTTTACCTGGCAGTAGGATATTCCCTGCAAGCAAGATTCTGGAGCAAGTGGTAAATATAAGAAGAAAAGACTAAGTGACCATACACTCGATAGCTTTTCAATCTTTACCCTAATAAAAACCAACAACAAAAATCACTTGGTTACTTTGAAAATACTGGTCTTGTTTCAGTATATCCAGGATCAGGACAGCATCCTACATTTCTTGCAAGTTCCCAGGTGATCCAGGATTCAATGATCCAATAATCCATTATCCAACATTGCTGGTTGGTCCATGGATTATATGGGATATAAGCAGAGAAAGCCAATGAGTAAATAGAAAGACTCTGAAATAAGGACACAAGTAGGAAAGTCAGAAGAAGAGGGAATGGTTTGCAATTAGACATTGAGGCAAAGGCTAACTAAGCAGGTGAGCAGGGCATGGAGAGGTGTTGTGCGAGGGAGAAAGCAGCTGTCACTCTCTAAGCGGTACGTCCTCTTTGTTTCTGGACAACAGTTGCCATGTCAGAACACGATACTAATGTTACCCAGTCTCTCGCTTGTTAAAAACATAAATTCACCGCATTTTTAAACATAGAATCTACTGATTTATAAATTTTGAGTCTAACTTTTACAAATACACAAATTTTCACATATATAAATAGTCAAGTATTGTGAGTCAAACAAACTGGATGTGCCTGTTAGAATTTCAGCTACTTCAGATCTTTAAATAAGGTAAAGAGTCCCGAATCTGAGCAGAAGTGGGTATCAAACAGCCCTTTGGGAGGTCCTGAGGCTTCCTGGGAGGCAACCTGGAGAAAGAGAAATGCTGTGAGTTAGAGACTGACGCAAAGTGAGAGGTGGGGATCAGATCCATACATCAAGAGGGTCTCAAAAGGAGACTGTCTATTTTGAGACAGTCTTGCTCTGTAGACCAGACTAGTTTCAGTCTCACGGTATTCTTCCTTAGTTTCCCAAAAGATGGGACTAAGGGTATGTGCCACCATGTCTGGCTCAACAAGCGTCTTTGCAGATAAAGAATTAATGTCAAGAAGTATGGGGATAAGTCTGGTTGTAGAGGAAAGATGATTGAATACAAGTTGAAAATTCTGAATTATTATAAAAAAAAAGCAACTAAAAGGTGCCTACTTGATGAAGTCACGACTGCATTAGCTAAAATATGAAAATCTCTCAGGAAATGTAACCATTCAGCAAGTGAAATTTTGCTGGTTGTTCTGTTATCAAAGCTGTCCTATCTGAGCAGATTAGGGCTATTAGGGAAAAATTTCAAGCCCATGGCAGAGGTTAGAGGTGGTGACCAGAACTCACCAGCCTCATTTGGCTTTTTCTTTGATTTTTCTGGTGCAGACTGCTATATGTGGGTGCTGTAGAGTGTTTCCAAGGTATCTGGGCCTTTAATCTTAGCTTTATAAGAGAGTGATGAAATCAAGCTGCGTTCTTAGAAGATGGTCTGGTCTTGGAACAAGCTTGTCTCTAATGGATGTGGGGGGAGGCAGAGAGGCAGATCTGAGGCTTAGTGTAAGAACAGTAAACAGCACTCGGAGACTGGTCAGCCATAACTCAGGAGCATATGATAGCCAAGGGGCCCATGTTGTCTTCTTGTAAGTACGGCAGAAAGCATAAGGTTGTAAGGAAAAGTTTGGGGGCCATCTATGGGTTATCGTTAAAACAAAATACACAATCGTCCCTATACACTGGCATTTTAAACCATACTAGTGCCTACAGACTCTCTCTAGAGCTGTTTAGAAGGATTCAGTCAAGGCTCTGCTTTATTTTGCTGTTTTATTGTTTGTCAAGACTACAGGGGCAGACTCTGTGAAAACTGTCAACATCAAAACACCTTTATTCTTTTTCCTTTATAAAGAAAACACAATGAAGATGTGGCAGAGTCTGAGCTTATTAAGACTCTCTTAGATTCACTGAAAGAGAAAGGATGCTGGGGAGCCAATGCCCAGCCCAGAGGATTCAGCCTGATGCTGGTGAATCATAGCGAGGGAAGCTGGATACTGTACAGACCTAAAGAAAAGACCTCATCAAAACCCTAGCACACAGTCTCTCTTGGTAAATTTCCAGCGCAACCCAGGGTTCTCAGACAGCCAACAGCACAAGAACAAGAAGCAGCAATACAGGGGTTGACAACATTTATTGATTGTTTGGCACGTTTCAGGTGATCTCATACCAAATTATACAGGTTACAACGGTTGTAAATTTCACCATTTCCTTTTAGTGCCCTAAAACGGAAGCCTGGTTTCCAGCTAAGCAAAGCAACAGATTTCATTAAGATTAAGATTCCCTTTGAGCTTCCTTGTGCTGTCCACAGCAACTCAGCTGCCTTCCTCAGAAAGCCAGTTTTTCCTAAGCCCGTGAACCCGCACCCCCAGATTCACTGGCTTAGAAGCTGGATTCAGGTTCATCTGAGCCACGGGTCTCACCACTGTGCTTGCTCTGAGATACACTCCAGGAAGTCTTGTCTTCTAGGTTCATTTCCCACTTTTGGTTAGAAAATATGAATGCAGTCCCCATCCAAACACATGCAGCTAAAAGAGAAAAGTAATTCAAAGAAAAGAAAGGTGTATTGTGAAGAAATGTCTCCAGCCTGCCTAGTGCTGCATTCCAACAACACTCCGAGTACATTTGAGATGCCAAAGGAGAGCGAAGACAGACATCCATGTGCACTAATTAATTTGAGCAAAGAAAATTGATTCTAAGATATTCTGTTCAGAGAGAAATATGAAAAAAACGGAAAAATTTCCAGGTTTCCAGTTTCCATGTTTATTAACTTCTGTTCGAAAGCCCTTAAAAACAACTATCTGGTGGTAACTAAACAACAGAGACATTTTCACAGACCCCTCCCTCTCTCAGCTGCATCTAGCAAATGTGCTCATGATTTGAAGGGTGATTTCTGGGGCTCATTTCGTTTTTCACCTGATGTCTTGCCTTGATTCTTTGCAGGAAGCAGAATGTGCCTACGTCCTCTTTGTTGTTGCCATCTTTTGGGTCACAGAAGCCTTACCCCTGTCAGTCACAGCTCTACTGCCTGGCTTAATGTTTCCAATGTTTGGGATCATGTCTTCCACACATGTAAGTTCTCCTTCAAATGTCATCAGAATTTGATTGCTTGTTGTGTGTGGTGACTTCGTTTGTCAAACGTTGCTTTTAAAAGGAGCCATGATCCTGAGGTAAGGGTTCTTCATAAGTGCCCCAAATTATCTAAGTGCTCCCTCTCTGAGATTCTGCGTGCTTGTCTACTTTTGGGGGCAAAGAGGGCAGAACTTGAGTCATGAGTGTCTGTCGAAGAAACTGTGTCCATCTTCTCTTGCTGACACTTCTATCTGGTGCCTCTTTCCCAACAAAAGGGGCCGTCCATTTACATCCTGAATAGTCTCAGACTAGTCCTCAGAATTTGAACTGACAGCACACAAACAAAAAGGAAGAAACACTTTCTGCTTTTAATGAAGAAAACCTTCCCTGTCTTCTTTTCCGGAAACCTGGTATTTCAGAAGATAAAGCCAAATTAACTTTCATGTGTATCTCTATTTTGTTCTTGCTGGGAGGAGTTTATTCATGCTTAGAGCTACTTTTTTTTTTTTACCTTTATGCAGTCTAAGGGTGTCCATCTAAAGGAAATAGATTCAGTTTTCCCTTAAATACACAAAACACCCTCAAAATAAAACACTTATCTCCATACAGTTTCTAGGCAGCAGACAATTGCCTAAATTAGAGTACCAGCGTTCATTGGAAGGAGTACAAGTTGAACCCAGTCAGTACCATCAACCTTTGCTTCCATCTTCTGCTTTGGTCCAACACTATTGTCTGGATACTCACACATCTTTCATGTGGACAGTCTTTGTTAAATTCTTCCTATGAGATAAGTTGTTCCTACTTCATTTTCACATTGTTCTTCCCCCTGTTGGGTCCAAAATCATTTTGTACTTATGACCCCTTTTGTTCCTCTTTTCATACTGGGTTTCCACATTCATCCTGACTTTGCTTCCCTTCTTTCTTATTATGATTGGTTCGGAGGTGAGTGTGTCAAGGGTTATCCTTCAATTCCTCTTACTTCTAGTCTGAGGTTCAGCTTCTGAGGAATCTGAGACCCAAAGTCTAAGTTTATTAAATGGTCTATCATGCTGAAGGGTGGGCAAGACCAACCAGACACAGAAAACATGATGTGGGAGATAATGGTTGTTGGACTACTGTGACTGGCAGTACATGTTCAGAAATCTTCATTTTTAAAGTTGACATCATCAGCAACCCTAGGGTCTGAGAGGTGGAAAAAGATCTGGGACAACTCTCATCTAGGGCAGGCATCTCCTCCATTTATGTCCTACAAATGACAACACTCCATGTCTTTTTGATTGTAGGTTTTCAGTAACTCACAGAGGGGGCAATTTTGATTTCCAGAAATTCAGTTTTATTTAAACCAAGTCTGATGTTCAATTATATTGAGCCATGCAACTTTTACCTCACAACTGTTCTGCAAATACAAATCATCTTTCTTTTGCACACAGCATTTATTGGATGTTACAATTAATGTAATCCCTACCTCCAGTCTTTATGATCTCTAGACCACAACTCCTCTTGTCAAACCTAACTCCTCTAACAATATCACTGCTGCCATCCTATCTTCTTTTCTCATCCCAGAACTATCTTTAGTTTGTCAACATTACTGAAAATTAGACCAGTTAATTAATTAGCTATGTTTTCTGTTGCTGTGGTAAAGAATCCTGGCATGAGCAAATTAAGGAAGGAATAATGTGCTTTGGCTCACAGTTTGGGTGTAGAGTCAATCATTCTGAGGAAATATTGTCAGCAGGAATTTAACTATATCTGTAGTCAGGAAGTAGAGAGTAATGAATGCTAGTGTTCAGCACAATTTCTCCTTTGTATTCCGTCTAGGATAGAAGTCCATAGAGTGATGTAGCCCACACTGGGCAAGTCTTTCTGCCTCCACTAGCTCAATCTAGATAATCCATCTTACGTATGCCTAGAGTCTAACCTAATTTAGATAATCCATCTGACATATGTCAAGAGGCTGGGCTAATCTAGAAAATTCCTATTGGAATCTCCAAAGGCTTGTATACCAGATAAATCTAGATTTGATCAAATTGACAATACTAACTATGGTAAACATTAAATCTGCTACAAAGTAAGTACTCAATAAATAGTTAATATAGCAAGTAGACTGACCAAAACAGACCATTTTAGAAATAGCTGGAGTATTTCAAAGGCAAATAAATTAACCATTTATATTCTGGTCTGATGTGTGTTCAATCTTTTGAAATGCATACAGTACAGGACTCCTTTGAGTCCCTTTGCCTAGTGAGTGGAATTGGAGCTTACAGGAAGTCAAAGCCCTTAGGAATTTCAGTGGTGATATATAAATGACAACTGTAGTTTTGTTTTCTAGCCACCCAGACCCAAATATCACACAAACTATATTAATTACAGCACTGTTTGGCCAATGACTCAGGCATATTCCTCGATAGCTCTTACATCTTAAATTAACCCATTTCTATTAATCTGTGTATTTTCACAAAGTTGTGGCTTACTGGTAAGGTTCTGGCATCATTTTCCTTTGGCAACTATATGGCATCTTTCTGACTCTGCCTTCTTTCTCCCTGCATTCATTTAATTTTGCTGCCTAAATCAATTCTGCCCTACTATAGGCCAAAGAAGCTTGTTTATTAACCAATAGTTTATAGCACACAAAGGGGAATCCCACATCATCTTCCCTTTTCTGTGTAAATAAAAAGGAAGATTTAAAATTTAACATAGTATAATTACATGCAACAAAACAGGTGTCAAGCAAGAATTACAGTTACAAAATTTTTCGTGAATCTACAGTTTTATATCTAATTTATCTTTTATCATAACTAAGGAAATATCATAACTATAACTATCTGTCTTCAACTCCATCAAAGACCCCAGAAAGATATACTATTACCTAAGTAAACAGGAAATGCATTGTAAGCAACTTCAAAACTCTAGAATTGACAAAGACATCTTGCTGCCTGGGCAGTCACCCAAAGTTCTTCTGTAATGTTGTGGGCATCCATCTTCGGCCTACAGGCCCATCAGACTTTTCTGCATGAAACAAGAAATTGAAAGACTGTTTCACCTCTATTGGAAGTTTATCACTCACTTTCTTCTGTGTCCTGCATAATGTCTGGAAGAATCTTTCGTGAAGCAGAAATCCTGAAGGACTATCTCACATTGTTTAGGCAAGTTCAGCAGTCATTTTTCTGTGGGTCCTCCATGTCCAGTTCATACAGCATATTATTTAGTAGTTCAGGCAAGCGCAGTTTCTTGCACAAATGACTAGAAAACTCCATAGATAGCCTTTTCAATTCCCATCATTCTCTTGAAATAATTGGTGCTGCCAGAAGCAGACATGTCTCATTGCCTAAAAAAGTCTGTTCTTGAAACCTTTCAAATGTTATATTCTGTAGGTCTTTGAAGTGTTGAAGATTATTTATCTAACTGAATTTTATATCTGTGTATCTAGAAAACATAACTAACATGACTACAAGTTTGAATATTATAGATGACTATCTATTAATCCATAATTTTAAATTATACATTGCATTTAAATGAGCTGTATAAACATAATACCTTAAATAAGAATAGAAATATACATATAACTCAATTGACCTTAAATTTGTACCAATAAACCAAGGTCCATAACAATGTTAAATATTCATATTCTGATCTTTTTTCCACAACAGACAATTAAACTTTAAAAAGTAAATGTCTAACTTGACATATATCGAGAGCTTGTATGGACACAGTTACAAATTTAGTCAAATAGATATGAGTTGAATATTTGATATTTGCCCTACATAAGTGTATGATCTTTATCATGTATCTTAATTATTCTTTTTTATCATCTGTAAGTGAAACCTGAAGCGATAAGTCAAGTTGTACAATCAAATAAAATATGCAAAATAATTTTCAAATGTTGATATAACACCTATGAGTTTTTATATCAACAGTTTTGAGAGTGCTACCTGTCATTGTGTCCCATATTAGGAGTTCCAAATATCAAACCAATTATTGAGTAGATGAAAATCTTCATTGAAATGGAAAGCCCTAAGAATGTCTTTTATTGGCCCCATAGTTATAGTCTTACATACTTTAAGGCCAGTGCTGGATATCCAAAACTTGATATGCATATTACTGTAATTGAAAACTACCAACAACTATTGAATTTTTATACTGTTTGAATTATATCTAAATATCTACATAGTCATGTGTGATAAATTTGATCTTCTATAACAGATATTAGTATTGGTATTGTTGAAAATATGTTTATAAATAAAATATATAAGAAAAATCTATGCATATATAGATTTTATGTCACATATTTACTTAGTCATTCAATAAATATTTATGTGGTAGAGCCTGCCAGACACTTGGAAAACATTAATAAATAAAATTTGGGGAAATTTTTATGAATAAAAATAGAGAAAAATTACCTATTTTTTAGGGGAATGGAGAGAGTAAATAATATATTTGATAAATAGATGAGTTGAATAGTTTGCTAGAAATGTAATTGATAGGACCTTAATGTTTAATGTGCTTGTTATATAAACTCAAGGATATAAGTTTGGAGCCCAGCACCCAACCAAAAAGCCAGATGTGACAGCATAAGCCTATAATGTCAACTCCAGGGAGGTAGAAGATAGGAGGTGCATGGTGGGAAGCCAATCTACACAGTTTCTGAGCCAAAAATTCAGTGAGAGAACCTGTCTCAGAAAATAAGGTAGAGAGTGATAAATATACAGATATCCTCTACTTGACTCCACATATGCAGGCTTAAGGACAGGCACCAGCATACACGGGTACACACACACGGAAACATCATGCAAAAAGTTAGTGAAGATCAGAAGGAGTAGCAACTTTAGATAGCATTGTTTAATCTAACAGGAATTTGTTACCAAGGAAGAACAACCTATGTATCTGAACAAAGAGTTACTGGAGATAAGTAAGTTATCCATTTGCATATTGATAAAAGCCCACTGAAGGGAGAAACACCCAGTACAAAGGGTGTAAGGCCAGTATACCGTGGTAAAAGAAAT